GACTTGGGTCGCTATCCTTCCTAGTCTATGTCTGTGTCAATAACCTAGGTTTCGGCGCTGTCATGTCTGGTGATAATATTAAACCCCGGAGAGCCTCCAAGTCTGACACAGACAAGCACACAGTCCAGGAGGGCCCGAACCGGCTTAGCGACTCGTCTAGTGGGCAACTCCTTTGTGTTGGCATTAGTGAATGTGTGGTACTAAGACGCCGTGTTATAAGATGCAACGAGGACAATTACCTTTCTCAGTGTGCTCCTAATGGACAGTCCCTTTCAAATGTTGACAAACAGAAGTATCCTTAATGTTATAATTAACTCCATACCTTAAGCTTCACCAAAATGTTTGCCGGTAGCTAAACAAGCGGCGCATGTGCTGTTCGCTTTGGGAAAGGCGCTTGTACAGATGGATCAGGAGTTATCCAACATGGCCTACGAAGCATTCTTTTGGCTCCATTAGGACTATGATGCATAGGCCTGACGTCCATGCCTCCAGAAGAATTATCAGCTACTCAAACGAGTCCAGGTGACCGCGCAGAGAATTAGGATAAGTTCGGGACGCTGTAAAATGAAGCCAAATTGGCTGAAACTAATTTTCCCTCTAGATTACAGGCAAGTGAGCGGTGACGTTATTCAAACCTACCAGAATGTTAGAAGTCGTGAGTGCGTACTTCACCTTAAAGGCGCCTCTTATATGGCTGGAACGGACTGTTTGAGTGGCCACTTTTTTAATCTGCCGAGAAAGTTGGCCCGACGTACGGGATGCCTTCTTACAAAGGGTTACTGAATCATGGAACGGAATACCTCCTGTGGTGGTGGTCTCGGACACTGTTTAGACATATAAGTGCCCACTTGACGTTCTGTAGTTCAGAAACTGTTTTACATACTGGTGTAAATACATCAGTGTCGACAGCTTATAGCTAGCCCAGACATACCAATGACGATACATTTTTTACAATTACTTCCGTAAAAATTTATTCATCTGCTCTTCGGGCATGACTCGGGAGTTTAAGGACGAATGACTTATTCCTCAAATAAAGTGACTTAAAGTGAATTAATAGCCACTTTTTGCATCGGGGGTTCAAAACTCCAAGAAATATTGCATATCTACTACGACAGGCTTTGTTTAGCTTGGTAATGAACACACCGTCTCGACTCCCCAGTTGTTCCGGAGGTCTCTAAGC